GACTGAGGTACAAGTTTTTCAGTCATCAATAACCTTGTCAAACCTTCATGACATTTTATTATATTTAGACAGTATGAAATGTGGACAGAAGCTTGTTTATGACCAAAATACAGTATCCAGAGCAAAATTTTTGAAATATTTATTTTCATTTTTCCGTATTTTACTGATAAATGGACTTAGTTTTTTTAGAGTTAACAAGTCTGGAGTTAAAGTTTGTTACACATTAACAAGTTTGTCAAACTTTCATAGAGTTTTATGAAACTTTGGCAGAAGCTCTTTTAATTATTAAGAGATAATGTCTGCAGCAAACCTTTGAAAATATATTGTTGTCATTTTTAGTATTTTTCTGATAGATGGACTTATTTTTTTACAGTCAACATTTACAGACAGTCTGGGATTAAATTTTTTTGACATGATAAATTTATAAACCTTCATGGAGTGTTATGAAACTTGGACAGAAGCTAATCTTCAAGACCAAGAAATAGCATCTGAAGAAAAATTTGATTTTTTTTTAAATTCTGTATTTTACTGATAAATGAACTCACTTTTTAAGTCAACATTACACATATTTGGGTATTAATATTGATTCACTCATAGGGTCTTTGCAACAGAAATAAACACATTTATTCTAAAACCAGTTGTAAAGTGGCATGATACAGGTTATGTTCTTCTCATATATTTTATGATGTTATGATACTAAACCCCTAAAGGGAGGGATTGTGCTTGATTTTCATATGATGAAGACATAATCTTTCAATCAGTTTAATTGAGGTCTGGAGCTGGCATGTCAGTAACTGCTAGTAGTCCTTTGTTAATTTATGTATCATTGTCATTTTGCTTAGTTTCTTTTGTTACCTATTCTGACATCGGACTCAGACTTCTTTTAAACTGAGTTTTACTGTACGTATTGCTGTGTGTTTGTTTATTCTACATTGGCTAAAGGTATAGGGGGAGGGTTGAGATCTCACAAAACATGTTTAACCCCGCCGCATTTTTGTGCCTGTCCCAAGTCAGGAGCTTCTGGACTTTGTTAGTCTTGTATGTTTTTTAATTTTAGTTCATTTATATGTTTTGAAGTTTAGTGTGACGTCCATTTTCAGTGAACTAGTACCGGTACTCTTTTTTGTTTAGGGGCCAGCTGAAGGCCGCCTCCGGGTGAGGGATTTTCTCGCGGTGTTGAAGACCCATTGGTGGCCTTTGGCTGTTTTCTGCTCTTTGGTCGTGTTGTTGTCTCTTTGACACATTCCCCATTTCCATTCTCAATTTTACTTTTACACTGACAGCAGCAATCACAGGCAATAATAGATGGACAGAAAGTTAAAATAGCAAAAAACTGATCAGCAAGACAAGATCTACAAATAAGTCAACATGGCCCAAATCTTCAGTCAGCTCATTATTAGAGTTATTCCCCTTTAGTAATGATTTTTACTAAAAAAGTGACCATTATTGAAGATGCAGGTGAGGGACACAGGCTCTTTAGAGACTCTTAGTTTACAATTAACAAGGAAATACAGTCTTGGGTTGAGTTTGTTACACATCACTTGCTTTGTCAAACCTCATAAAATTTTATGAAACACTGGCCGAAACTTTTTTAAGCAAACTTTTGAAAATATATTTTTTCCATTTTCAGTATTTTTCTGATAGATGGACTTATTTGTTTACAGTTAACATTATGCAGACAGTCTGGGATTAAATTTTGTTTTACATGATAAATTTGTAAACCTTCATGGATTGTTATGTAACTTGGACAGAAGCTGATCTTCAAGACCAAGAAATAGCATCTGAAGAAAATCTTAGAATTTTTTTAAATTCTGTATTTTACTTATAAATGGACTCAGACACAGGGTTCTACGGAACCCCTTACAAATTTTTAATTAATTGAACTTAGTTATTATAAAGTAACACGATGGGTGCCGCATGTGGAGCAGGATCTTCCTATCCTGCTGGAGCACCTGAGATCACCCACGTGGTGGTGTTCGTGTTGCTGCAATCTTTAGTTTTCTATGTTGTGTTTATTATACTGTTTGTTTTTTGTTTTTTTGCCATGACATTGTCAGTTTGTTTTCTACTTATGAGTCTGAATATCCCTTTGGTATCCCTTACTACCAGTATACATTGTGTCAATATATAAACTTGATTTGTACAAGACTTGGAAACAGATAGAAAGTGAGGTTGTGTAAGTGTTTTCTAATTTGTTTTAAGCCTAGTACAAATACAGTTTGTGTTTTGTTATGAGGATGAATAAATGAACCATGAAATCACTTAAATATTCTCATGTTGATCAATGACACTGCTACAGACATTTGTTTTTGCTCTTGTCTTTAAATAAAATTAAAAAAAAATCACTATTTTGTCCTTTACACACTGATTCCATACAAAATATCTTAATACACAATGATCCAATACATAATATCTTAATACACACTGATCCAATACATGATATCTTAATACACACTTATCCGATTCAAAATATCTTAATACACACTGATCCAATACATGATATCTTAATGCACACTGATCCAATACATGATATCTTAATACACACTGATCCAATCCATAATATCTTAATGCACACTGATCCATTACATAATATCTTAATGCACACTGATCCAATACATGATATCTTAATACACACTGATCTGATCCAAAATACCTTAATACACACTGATCCAATACATGATATCTTAATACACACTGATCCAATACATGTTATCTTAATCCAGACTGATCCAATACATAATATCTTAATGCACACTGATCCAATACATGTTATCTTAATCCAGACTGATCCAATACATAATATCTTAATGCACACTGATCCAATACATAATATCTTAATACACACTGATCCAATACATGATATCTTAATACACACTGATCCAGTACATGATATCTTAATACACACTGATCCAATACATAATATCTTAATGAACACTGATCCAATACATGATCTCTAAATGCACACTGATCCAATACATGATATCTTAATGCACACTGATCCAATACATAATGTCTTAATAAACACTGATCCAAAACATGATATCCTAGTACACACTGATCCAATACATGATATCTTAATACACACTGATCTAATACATAATATCTTAATACACACTGATCCAATACATGTTATCTCAATCCACACTGATCCAATACATAATATCTTAATGCACACTGATCCATTACATAATGTCTTAATACACACTGATCCAATACATGATATCCTAATACACATTGATCCAATACATGATATCTTAATACACACCAATCCAATACATAAAACTTAATGGACACTGATCCAATGCATGATCTCTTAATGCACACTGATTCAATACATGATATCGTTATGCACACTGATCCAATACATGATATCTTAAGGCACACTGATCCGATTCAAAATATCTTAATACATACTGAACCAATACATTATATCTTAATACACACTGATTCAATACATAATATCTTAATACACACTGATCCATTACAATTATACACACTGATCTAGTTAAAAATATCTTTATACACACTGATCCAATACCAAATTTCGTAATATAGACTGATTGAATACATATATCATAATGAACATTAGTACAACTGTACTTTGGTTTTTTTTTTAAAAGTGGCAATAATATAGGTTGAATAATTAAGAAAACTTTCACTTTTATTTTTGTTGTACTAACAGGTGGTTGTGATGGATGAAATGGAACAACCCTGTATCTTAAGGCAGGCTTTTCTCTTTTAAAAGCCAAAACGAAATCAAATAACGAAACGATATCAAATTACGGATCACTTTAATTAATTTTTTTTAATCTATTTAAAAACAAAACTTTAAAAAGATCATAAAATACTAGACAAATACAATATTGTATTACTAGTGTATGTGCCTTATTGTGGTTTTTCGTGAGGGTGAGGCAACACTGACTGGCCTCTCGGAATTAACATTCCTACAGTTGTCATCCTAGCTGTTTAATGGTACACTGGAGCATCCAAGTTTAAAACCGACTAAGGCACGGACCATTTGACTTTTTTTGGGGGAGGGGGAGTCTGGTCTTTTCATGTGGACCGGGATTTTTTTTCGAACGCTACGCTGGACAGATTATTGTTTTCATTGTTCAATGTAGAAAATTTATTTTGGATTTTTTTTTTCTATTGGAAAAATGTGGACAACTTGGATTATTTTTTTTTAATCCAAGTGCTGGCTGGGCAGATAATTTGTTTTACCTAAATCAGGGCCAGGATATTTTTTATAAAAAAGACACCCCCCCCCCCCCTTTCCCCAATAAAGTCAAATGGTCTGTGTCTAATCAACACGTGTCTGTCTAGTATAACATATAGAGTTCATAATCAAATATTATATATTGTGTTTAAATTCCTAAACCACAGCTTGTTATTGATTACGCTGAATTTCACAGTTTTTTTCCCCAATTTTAAAAGAAATTGTATCAAACTAGACAATACTATTTATAAATATAATCGGCTTAATATTCAATTTGACTGATTTAAATTTTATTTCTATTTCGTTTCGTTTCTTTTCTTTTCGTTGGTTCCTATTTCGATTCGTTTCGTTTTATGTTGATTTCGTTTCGTTTCGTTTTGTTTCTTTTCGTTTCGTTTCGTTTCTTTTCGTTTCGTTTCTTTTCGTTTCTATTTCTTTTCGCACTTTATAGGCACCCGCCAAATAATGCTGAAAACTTTATTTTTGTTGTATCAACATGTGGGGTGGTGGATGGAATTGCTAAGACAGGCTCTTCTTTTCTAAAAGTCAAACAATGATGTAAACATTTATTTTTGTTGTACTAACAAAAAACTTTTGTTGTACTTGCAAGTGGGTGGTGATTGGAATGGCTTAGGCAGGCTTTTCTTTTCTAGAATTCAAATAATGCAGACAATTTTATTTTTATTGTACTAACATGTGGGGTGGTGGATGGAATGGCTCAGACTGGCTTTTCTGTTTTAGAAGTCAAATAATGGAGAAAACTTTCTCTTTGTTGTACTAACAGGTGGTGGTGGTGGATGGAATGGAACAACCCTGTATCCTCAGGCAGGCTATTCTCTTCTAGAAGGTGCTACTGGTGGCATTTCTTGTAATGGCAGCTTTTCTGTGCAGACTCCAGGAGGATTTGGAGGGGGTGGAGCAGCTTGTTTATCTGGTGGTGGAGGTGGGGGTTTCACAGGTAAGCTACCGTAACAATTGCTAATGGTCACCTTTCTGAATTGTGGTATGTATTTGAGAACCATTGACATCTCTAAGTAACTAAAAAAACATTTCATAAATTTGATTATGAAAAGTTCTCCACCATTTATCCTTTTGCATAAGATGATGATAATATAACATTCAGTATGTCTTCATATAAAACCATGATTAGTTGACCAATATAAAGTGACCAGCCATCATATAAATTGAAACAAGGGTAATCCATTTGGTTGACTGATTCGATCCACAAAAACTCGTTCTTATACAGGTAAAAACGATGATTAACATATTTTCTTAACCTACAATAGGAAATCAAACAGACCAAGAAAAATCCAATTGCACGTGTTCGCTATCTACTTATATCCATGTTTATGTTTATATTGGGTTTTATGACAGTCTGCAGTCTTCGGAAGTCACCTCGATGTTTAATAAGATGGATTCTAGACTTAAATACACACGAAATGCTGATTCATATTATTGAGTACATGTATCATAAATTGTTTATTTAAGACTTTTTATAATTTGGATATAGGTTTTATCATGTTATGAATCAAATATGAAAATTTGAGTCAAATCGGTAACATGAAGGAGTAGGTTCGGTAAGGGCAGATTTTGGCCTCAAAATTCAGGTTCATCTGATGAAAGATTTTGGACACTTTTTAAACACTTAAGTGTCTAATTCAGTTGATTCAATTAGTTTATGTGAAAGATTTGAACTGATTTGGTCATTAAAGACGCTCAAATTCAAGCTTAAATATGAAAAATCTATCAAATATGCCATAATATGTCACTTTTCAGATGTTTTTTGTCAAAAATGAAAGTGGCCGCATCCGTGTTCATTCTCAAACTTTATATATGTTATGTATTATCATCAAATACAACTTACATTTAAATATTATGAATGAACACAAATGCGGCCACTTCCATTTCAGACGGAAACCGTCTAAAAATTAACCAAAATGCTAAAATTTCGAAGATTTCAGTAATTTAGCATGACTTAATGATGCTAGTACCCAATACATGTGCATTGTATTGTCAAAAACAGCCCATATTTATGTAACAGAAGTATTCTTCTTTCCAATAAATAGCTAAAAATTTACATTTTAACAATTTTGTAAAACTGCTATATTTTGGGGCCAAAAAGGGGTCTTACTGGGCCTACTCCTTTGACAGCTTATGCACCTTTAAGAGCGTATTAAACTAATGCTAGTCACTCTGACCTACATTTTTAGGATTGATTTATTTGTATTGAGTTAAATGTCTAAGTTATTTTCTGGAGTATTTAGTGATCACATTAAAACTCTTTAGATGTTAAGTTTCAAGTTTGATTGCAATTGTATTATGATATAAATCCTATGAAGCCAATTTGGGATATTGCATTCTTTTGTAATCATAGATAACCTACATATTATGTTTTATCACAAGCTATGTCTGGTTATAGTTTTTTTTTTATAGATATCTTTCTGTCCTTTTTGACTGTGTCAACTAAACTAAATACTTAATTCACTCACTTGGTTTTGTATCAGAGTGGGTCAGTTCTGTGGACTTGTCAATATTTAACTATTAGTAACCATCTCAGATTTATATCAAAAGGAGTTATTCATTATACAGATTCAATAATTATGTCAAAGTGTTTCCAAGAGCTCTCTTGTGTCTCTGTAAATCTTCCCATGATATATAAATTTTGTTTTATGCTAATTGTAATTACATAGTCAGTAATAGGTCATCTATAAAGAGACTTTGAATAATATTCTATATAAAATTATTTCTTTCATTATTTACAGTTTATAATGTAAGAGACTACTCATAGGGAACTTTAAACCATAGGATCTTTTCAGGCTTGTATGTTGGGAGGCATATCTCTTTATATTAATATAGCTGGAGTGTCTAAATGTTCGACAATAGATTTTTCTTAAACATCTGTAAAAGACTTCTGGGTCAATGTACTTTCAATTTTCAATATATAAACTGGGGTGATGGACCTTGTTTTTTTGTTAAAATACATTGAAATTAACGAAATCACAGTAATGTTATATGGGTTATATGGGGAAACCTTATTTTTCCTTATTGAGGATACATTAAACAATAGATATTGGTTAAAATTAAATGAGAGAATTGCTTTTCATAAATACTTCCAAAATATCAAATAAAATGAGGGGTCACAGGCCTTATATTCTTGAAAATCAGAAAAACACAAATTGTCCTATTGAATTCAATATAGTTATCTGTCCTTAATTTTAAAAGGATTTTTTCTGAAAATTTTAAATACACTTCAACAACACTTATTTTTTTTAAACATTAAACACAAGAGTGAACAAATGCCTGGTGAATCTGTAGTAAGTTAGAGTCCCTTTATAGTTTAATCATTAAATTTCAAGTTTCTGATGTTTATGTTGTATATTGAATGATGCTTGGTAGAATATTTTTAAACCAAAAAGTATTTTTGCAACATGCCAACAAGGGATGCTCAGAAAAAGACACCCAGATCTACTTTAATGCAGAAAATACATCAGTTTTAATTTTTGACTCAATTACCTGGAGTTTATACCTCTGAATTCGTTGTTATTTGTAGGTTACTTATTTTCTGCTTTCTCTAGTAATGGTTAAACACAAATTTAATTTTAATCTGCAATAGGTTTATTTAGCAGAAATAGTTAAAACTAAATAAGCTAGTTTCCATGGAAATTGTTTGTTTGTGAACTTCTGATGGGTTGCTGTCTCACTGACTTTCCCTTCTCATCTTCAACAGAATAATGGCAAATATTGATAAAACAATACACTTGTCAGAATTAAATACAGGTGTTGCTCATTGTTGAAGACTTACAGTACCCTGCAGTTGTTTACATTCTTAAAATGTCCTCTGCACTCTGGTTAATAGCTGTAACATTGGCAATCATACCACATTTCATTATTAGTCCCCTACCGATGAAATCTGTCCGTCTGTCTGTCCATCTGTCCATCTGTCAGTCCAGCAAATCAGTTTTCGACACTTTTTATGTCCCCGCCATAGTTGTGGGGGCATTAAGTTTTACCCTTGTCCGTCTGTACGTACGGATGTACATACTTACGTCCCATAATTGGTTTCCATTCTCTAACTTGAGTTTGCCTCAACCAAATGTTATGAAACTTATACACAATGCTTATTACTACAAAACACAGATCAAGTTTGAATTTTGGTGGCGTCACTTTAACCGTTCTAGAGTAATGCCCCTTTATAAATGGAAAACTTGCAAAATTTCAAGTTTCCATTCTCTAATTTAAGTTTGCCTCAACCAAATGTTATGAAACTTATACACAATGCTTATTACCACAAAACACAGATCAAGTTTAAATTTTGTTTTCTTCATGCTTGGAAGGTATTGATTTGATATATGGTATATAGTTTAACAATGAAAAGTTACAGATCAAGTTCGAATTTTGTTCTGGTCCGATGATTTGGTGCAGAGTTGTGGTCTTTGGACTTCGAAAATTCATGCTATTATCAGTTTTCCGCACTTTTTTTTCGTCATGCTTGAGGATCTTGATTTGATATTTGGTATATAGTTTTACCATGACAGTTTACAGATCAAATTCGAATTTTGTTCCGGTCTGATGATTTTGTGCAGTTATGGTCCTCGGACTTGAAAAACTTGCGCCAATAATCAGTTTTCCACACTTTTTTTCGTCATGCTCTAAGATATTGATTTGATATTTGTTTTATAGTTTACACCATGACAAGTTAAAGACCAGTTTTTCTGATTATCTGCCTTAATTTGTGACGCGACTCCTAAGTGTCGTCGTAGTAGCAGTCGCCATTACAGTCGTGAAAAAATTATAAACAAGCTACACATCTATTTCCCAGACCGCCTATAATTGCTTAACGTAAACACAAGAATGCGATGGCGTACATGACCTTGGCAAAATTATAAATGCTTTAAATAATAAAGTAATTAGATAAGGAATAGACATTCAAATAATTGGTATAAGTGTATTGCAGGGCAGTTGTCGTGCCCTAAAAATGAAACCGATACGTTACACCCGGGACAAAATATATTGACTAAAGTATACTAATCCCAGGTTACATATCCATTATAAATTAATTACTTAGTAATCATAATTGATTATTTTAGTAAATAAAAGTACATTGGACTAGAGGGTACCTGATGAGGATTTACGGCCTTGCCGGGTGGAATGTGATATCAGAAACACCAGGTGCATTTTTATCAAATCATAGAAATTTCTGTGGTCAGACCTATAATCAGACAGTCTTAAAATTTGACATTCCTCAAGTCCGACGTCCCTATATTCCGACAGCCCATTTCGTCCCACCCGCGGTTACTAGTCTCTGAAATAAATATACTGTCTTATAGACATGTAACGTTTGAATATATTTTTTCACAGAAACAGAGATTTTTGAGCTTGTGGTTCAACGCACTTATACTGCTCATAAATGAGTGACTTTTTATACGCCCGTCAAAATTTTGACAGGACGGGTCTGCCTGTCTGTCTGTCCGGCGTAAACATGTCGCACCGTAACTTGAGAACGACTTATCCAAATTTCATGAAACTTAAGATGGTTGTTTCTTATGACGGTCAAACGATCTGTATACTTTTTGGTGAAAATAAGATAAAAACTTTTTGAGTTACGGGACTTAGTAACTAAAACAGGTGTGTGTTTTTTATCGCATGTCGCGCCGTATCTCAAAAACAATTTATGATTATTGCTTAAAACTTTACACACATCTTAGATATATTAATCTTAAGATCTGTATACTTTTTGGTGATGATTCAAAATTTTATTTTAGAGATATTAAGTTTTTTGTAAAGAAAAAAGGGGGTTTTCGCATGTCAGGCCGTATGTCAGAAACTATTTATGATTATTGCATAAAAATTCACATACAAGACGACGAGCGTATTCGTCTTATTTTTGTCTCCACAAACATGAATTGTGCTAAAAATATTAACATTTAACGATCGTCTGAGTTGATGTTGTAAATAAAAAAAGCAATGATTAGTTGTGTTTTTAGAAGCTTCATTTAGTGTTTTTTTGACAAATCCTTTCTAATACATGTATATAAATGTGTAAAGTTGTATAAAATTGTATAATCCATGCACAGAACAATCTACTGAAGAAGGTCAAATCAAATTTCAACAGAGATTACTGTTAATGTCGTATAAAGAAAGTCAAGTGATTATATACTTGAAGCACAAAGGACAAGCTACGTTAAATCAACATGTAGCTTCGGGATAGGTTTAATTTTCATCATCATAAGAAATGTGTACAGCTTCTAGACAAAAAGAGGTAGATGCACTGTCATAATCGGATTCATTTTTTTTTAGAAATCGGCTCGTCAGAAGGCACCAAATGAAACTTGTATGGAATTATAAAAGGACAGACATTGCATGTTCAACTTTGTGTAATTCACATATTGATTTTTTCCACATCTGAAGATTTCTATGATTATTTGTAAAACAATTTTCTGCACAAGAATTGTCCCCACCTTTTTTTATAACTACAGACACTATCCATAACAAAATAAATCAGAAAATTAAAGAAATTCAAACGTAAATTGAAAATTTATAATGTTTTGATGGCGGATTGTTAATGGTTAATGGATGCGCCCATGTTTTTTTTATGCTAGTTATAGATAAACCCGTCTATAGTTCAAGTTAGCATTTTGTTCCAGTACAATGAATTTTTAACCGGTAGGGGACTATGCATTGCCATGCAATACTCTCAGAATGCTTGTTATTATATAGATTTTTTTTTTTATATATAAATCTGGTACTCATTTCACCAATGATTCAGTTACCAGAACCAGTACTATGTTGAGGTTAGGAATATCATTAGAATCTTGCAAGTAGCATATGAAAAGTATAACTGACTTGAGGGAACATTGTGTAAGAAGATTGATCAACTAGTTAAGGATCCAATAAGTCCCAAGTAATGGTCGTAATTAATCTTTTTGTTTATGATTAAAGTAATACATTGACACTAAGGGTTTTATTGATGTACAATAGTTGTCAGTCGCATTTGTCTTGATTAAAATCAGATCACCAAAATTGATTGTGCTTTGTCAAGTCTGATAGGATAAACATGGAGGTCATCTAAAACATAAATAATACACAGAATTTATAGAAATGTAATCACTTTAATATTTCCTGATATTCAAAAAATGCATTAGTCAATGTACTATGTGGTGATGATGGTGGTAAAAATCTGATTAAGTGTCTGTGTAAATGATTTGTATAAAGCTTTATATTTCAGGAGGTAGAAGTCTGTGTAAATGATTTGTATAAAGCTTTATATTTCAGGAGGTAGAAGTCTGTGTAAATGATTTGTATAAAGCTTTATATTTCAGGAGGTAGAAGTCTGTGTAAATGATTTGTATAAAGACTATATTTCAGGAGGTAGAAGTCTGTGTAAATGATTTGTATAAAGCTTTATATTTCAGGAGGTAGAAGTCTGTGTAAATGATTTGTATAAAGCTTTATATTTCAGGAGGTAGAAGTCTGTGTAAATGATTTGTATAAAGCTTTATATTTCAGGAGGTAGAAGTCTGTGTAAATGATTTGTATAAAGCTGTATATTTCAGGAGGTAGAATTCTGTGTAAATGATTTGTATAAAGCTTTATATTTCAGGAGGTAGAATTCTGTGTAAATGATTTGTATAAAGCTTTATATTTCAGGAGGTAGAAGTCTGTGTAAATGATTTGTATAAAGCTTTATATTTCAGGAGGTAGAAGTCTGTGTAAATGATTTGTATAAAGCTGTATATTTCAGGAGGTAGAAGTCTGTGTAAATGATTTGTATAAAGCTGTATATTTCAGGAGGTAGAAGTCTGTGTAAATGATTTGTATAAAGCTTTATATTTCAGGAGGTAGAAGTCTGTGTAAATGATTTGTATAAAGCTTTATATTTCAGGAGGTAGAAGTCTGTGTAAATGATTTGTATAAAGCTTTATATTTCAGGAGGTAGAAGTCTGTGTAAATGATTTGTATAAAGCTTTATATTTCAGGAGGTAGAAGTCTGTGTAAATGATTTGTATAAAGCTTTATATTTCAGAAGGTAGAAGTCTGTGTAAATGATTTGTGTTAAGCTTTATATTTCAGGAGGTAGAAGTCTGTGTAAATGATTTGTATGAAGCTTTATATTTCAGAAGGTAGAAGTCTGTGTAAATGATTTGTATAAAGCTTTATATTTCAGAAGGTAGAAGTCTGTGTAAATGATTTGTATGAAGCTTTATATTTCAGAAGGTAGAAGTCTGTGTAAATGATTTGTATGAAGCTTTATATTTCAGAAGGTAGATGTCTGTGTAAATGATTTGTATAAAGCTTTATATTTCAGAAGGTAGAAGTCTGTGTAAATGATTTGTATAAAGCTTTATATTTCAGAAGGTAGAAGTCTGTGTAAATGATTTGTATAAAGCTTTATATTTCAGAAGGTAGAAGTCTGTGTAAATGATTTGTATAAAGCTTTATATATCAGGAGGTAGAAGTCTGTGTAAATGATTTGTATAAAGCTTTATATTTCAGAAGGTAGAAGTCTGTGTAAATGATTTGTATGAAGCTTTATATTTCAGGAGGTAGAAGTCTGTGTAAATGATTTGTATAAAGCTTTATATTTCAGGAGGTAGAAGTCTGTGTAAATGATTTGTATAAAGCTTTATATTTCAGAAGGTAGAAGTCTGTGTAAATGATTTGTATAAAGCTTTATATTTCAGGAGGTAGAAGTCTGTGTAAATGATTTGTATAAAGCTTTATATTTCAGAAGGTAGAAGTCTGTGTAAATGATTTGTATAAAGCTTTATATTTCAGGAGGTAGAAGTCTGTGTAAATGATTTGTATAAAGCTTTATATTTCAGGAGGTAGATGTCTGTGTAAATGATTTGTATAAAGTTTTATATTTCAGGAGGTAGAAGTCTGTGTAAATGATTTGTATAAAGCTTTATATTTCAGAAGGTAGAAGTCTGTGTAAATGATTTGTATAAAGCTTTATATTTCAGGAGGTAGATGTCTGTGTAAATGATTTGTATAAAGCTTTATATTTCAGGAGGTAGATGTCTGTGTAAATGATTTGTATAAAGCTTTATATTTTAGAAGGTAGAAGTCTGTGTAAATGATTTGTATAAAGCTTTATATTTCAGAAGGTAGAAGTCTGTGTAAATGATTTGTATAAAGCTTTATATTTCAGAAGGTAGAAGTCTGTGTAAATGATTTGTATAAAGCTTTATATTTCAGAAGGTAGAAGTCTGTGTAAATGATTTGTGTAAAGCTTTATATTTCAGAAGGTAGAAGTCTGTGTAAATGATTTGTGTAAAGCTTTATATTTCAGAAGGTAGAAGTCTGTGTAAATGATTTGTATAAAGCTTTATATTTCAGAAGGTAGAAGTCTGTGTAAATGATTTGTATAAAGCTTTATATTTCAGAAGGTAGAAGTCTGTGTAAATGATTTGTGTAAAGCTTTATATTTCAGAAGGTAGAAGTCTGTGTAAATGATTTGTATAAAGCTTTATATTTAAGAAGGTAGAAGTCTGTGTAAATGATTTGTATAAAGCTTTATATTTCAGAAGGTAGAAGTCTGTGTAAATGATTTGTATAAAGCTTTATATTTCAGGAGGTAGAAGTCTGTAAATGATTTGTATAAAGTTTTATATTTCAGAAGGTAGAAGTCTGTGTAAATGATTTGTATGAAGCTTTATATTTCAGAAGGTAGAAGACCTGGATGCTTCATACCTTGTTTGAGATGCCTTATGTTTCTAAATATGTCCATTGTCCTTGACCTCATTTTCATGGTTCAGTGACTGCTTGAAAACAATGTTTAGTTAATCTGTCATGTGAAATACTCACTTATTATGATTAATAGGATAACTATTTGGTATATGGGATCCTTGCAAGGTCTACATTTCTGTCAGACAGGATTCACCAGACCTCAACTTCATTTCATTGATCAGTGATAAAGGTTAATTTCCTGTGCTGAAGTCCATAGTCCGCATTGAATAGGACAACTATACTTGGTGTATGGAATGATTGTAAGGTGTACATGTCCGACTGTTAAAAATGCAAATGTTGATACATGTGTCATATGACCTTGACCTTATTTTCATGGTTCATTGGTCAATGTTAAGTTTTTTATAGAATTTTTTATTTCTCCGATACTATAAGCAATTGGGCCACTATATTTGGTCTATGGAATGATTGTAAGGTGTACATATCTGTCTGGCAGGGTTTATCTGACTTTGACCTCAGAGATTCTATTTCAAACTAAAATCCTCTCTGAAAAACATTGATAAAATGAGACCAAAAAAGATGTGGCAGTGTCAGCAATATGTTAAAGTTTGTGATTATGTCAGTTAAAGAGGAACCACTAATGGAAGGTCAATGATATTTGGTATGCCGTTGAAGTAGCATTGATACATTTAATGTGGATTTCTTGGTCTCACCACTCAGTCATGGTCTATTAAAGTTGAAACTTTTGCTTAGTTTAAATGTAAAGTGTGATTAGGTCAGTTTTATAATAACCACTAATGGAAGACAATTTTATTTTGTATATAGGTTTTTCAGCATTTTCACATGTCATATCCATAGAGATTATTTGGCCCACCCCACTCTTTCATGGTCTAGTTTGTGATTAGGTCAGTTTGAGTGGAACCACTTATGGAAAGTCTTTGATTTTTTGGTCTGCAGTTGTTTTAATATTGAGCACGTCTCATTTCCTTGGAGATTACATGTTAAAGTTTGTGATTAGGTCAGTTTAAAGGGAATGGTTTATTGTAAGTCAATGATTTTGTTATGCAGTTGTATTAGCATTGGCATATCTCATTTCCACAGAGGTTTTATGGCCCTGAACCATTAGTCATGGTTCATTGACTTTTGATGATTTGCCTAGTTTTCATGTATACCCATTTTGATATCACCATATGCATTTTTACCATTGAAATTAATTGTAGGCCAGACATATCTATGTGTCAACAGTTTATTAATATTTTTATAGGTGGTGATGCCAGCACTGATGATGACCAACACAGAAGTGGTCAAGATGGATCAAATTATTTTCATCCAATGATTAAAGATGAAAAAGTTATTTCCCGTAAGTAGCTTATGAACTTGGAATATGAAAATATTAATTTCTGTAAGTAGCTTATGAACATGGAAAATGAAAATGTTAATTCCTGTAAGTAGCTTATGAAATTGGAAAATGAATATGGTATTTCCTATAAGTAGCTCACGAACTTGGAATATGAAAAAGCTATTTCCTTTTAGTAGTTTATTAACTTGGAATTTGTAAATGTTACTAGGAGATTCCATTTTGCCTGAAAATGTAATTTCTTGTAAGTAGCTTTTGAACTTGGAATATGAAAATAATATTTCCCATAAGTGGCTTATGAACATGGAATATGAAAATATTGTTCCCAGTTAGAAGCTTTTGAACATGGAATATGAAAATTTTAATTCCTGTAAGTAGATTATGAATTTTAAATATGAAAATGTTATTTCTGTAAGTAGCTTATGAACATGGAAAATGAAAATGTAATTTTCTGTAAGTAGCTTATTAACATGGAATATGAAAATGTAATTTTCTGTAAGTAGCTTATGAACATGAAATATGAAAATGTAATTTTCTGTAAGTAGCTTATGAACATGAAATATGAAAATGTAATTTTCTGTAAGTAGCTTATTAACATGGAATATGAAAATGTAATTTTCTGTAAGTAGCTTATGAACATGAAATATGAAAATGTAATTTTCTGTAAGTAGCTTATTAACATGGAATATGAAAATGTAATTTTCTGTAAGTAGCTTATGAACATGAAATATGAAAATGTAATTTTCTGTAAGTAGCTTATGAACATGAAATATGAAAATGTAATTTTCTGTAAGTAGCTTATGAACATGGAAAATGAAAATGTAGTTTTGGCATTGCACATGGTCATGTTTTTCTCTGACTGTTAATGACGTCTTAACACTAAATCAATTGGATGTTGGATGTGTATTGATTAATATTTTAGTCTTAGATACTTGATTTTTTCATTGGCTTTGAACTAGCTGTCAGTAACTGTGAGTACCCTCAGATCTGTCTTTTTTTGTTTTGAGGGATGTATAAATTCCCTGCTACTTCTGGTCTATGTTTTTGTTAGTTGTTTTGTATCATTCTGATGAGTTAAGCCCTTTTCAACCGATTTTTATAGTTCTTATGTTGTACTGTTACACCACTGTCCCAGGTTAGGAGGAGGGTTTGGCACCAGAAAACATGTTTAACCCCGCCACGGATATGTGCCTGTTCCAAGTCAGGAGCCTGTAGTTCAGTGGTAGTCGTTTGTTCATGTCTGTCATATTTGTTTTTCATAAATTATTTTTTTACAAATTAGGCCATTAGTTTTCTTTATTGAATTGTTTCACATTTTTCATGTCAGGACCTTTTATAGCCAATAATACAGTATGGGTTTTTCTCATTTTTGAAGGCTCTACGGTTGCCTATAATTGGTTACTTCATTTGAACTTTGGTGGATAGTTGTCAATCATACCACATCTCCCTATTTTGATAAGAACATAGAATATGAAAAATGTTTAGCTGGTGTTATTTATATAGATTGATGCACAAGGAAAAACAATTAATAAGGACTTTTTCTTAATTTCAGATTTGTCAGCTAGATCAGAAGCCTTTGTTGAAATCAACTTCCTATTAAACTGTCCATGTGACTTTTGGTGTAATATAAGTGATTGGGAGAAGCCTGTGTTTGCCTGCCTATGTCCTGCAGAACAAGTTTTATCAGCAGATGGATTCCACTGTGAAGGTCTGTATATTTAACATGAAATATTATTGATTGATGATTGATTGTTGGTTGCTGAAATATTATTGCTATGTTAACCAAATTATATTGTAGTATCAAAACTATAATGCATTCTGAAAATTTTTCGAATAAGTTAAAAGTTACAAAGGCTATATCAAATTCCAATATCCAGTCCAAACTAGCTCATAAGGTTTCTATGTGTTTCTACATCCCTTGATTTCAAATGTTTAGGTTTGAGCATTCGTGATGAATCCAGAGCTTCTGATTCACCAAATTTATAAAGTGTTTATTTTCATTAGTAATGATTATGATTAACCTGTAGTAGTGATTGCAACAGCCATTCTTTTATAGCCCATATGACCCTCCATACTTTTTTTAGAACTACCCCAGCTGAATTGGGTTGACAGCAAGGAGTTCAATTCATGGTCCATAAACTCTTTGCAGGTGTGTTGTTATGAAAATATGACAACTTAGATGCCCTTCTTGAAGTTAAAAATCGGAAAATTGTGAAAAGTAGCCAAAATCAGGTGGGAGTGGGAGTCATTTGATGGCCACTACGTTATTAGTATCGGCTGTAGGTATTAAATATAACCAAAGTAGATCAGTAGCACAAGGAGGTATTATATAGCCAAAATAGATCTGATCTGTAAAAAAAACAAGGTCATTTCGGCAGACCTGGCTGGCCATTAATAATTCCCCAGCAAGACTATCAAGTCACCTTTTCTTCCAGTCAACATGGATGGGTTACTTCAAGGTAATAACTCAGTCTGAATGATAAAGAAACACAATCTGGTCAATGTTCACCTCTCAAGGTCGTATTTAAATGGAAAAAAAGACTGAAAATTACCATTTTTCAGCTGGGGTGGGTTGGGTTGGATTCCACATGCTGGCTCCTACTCGACCCCCTATTCCATGAATTTAGCCCTTAAATCTCAATGCATTACATAAATTAATGAATCAGCATCAGATACATCATACAGTATCAAGAGTCAACTAATTTACATATTTTTGCAACTTTTTGACTGATTTTCCAGAAATCTCTTGGGGTCGAATCACTTTAACAATGAAATAACCCATACATAATAGAATTTCATTTAATAAAAAAGAAAAAAAAACATTTGTGGTAATTGTAATTAGTAGGATCAAAACATGATATAGTGTTTTAGTTCACTCTTATAACTTGACTTTAAATAATCGATTGTCAGTTCTAATGTTAAATCGTTGAAATAAATAATCTACATATTTTATTTTTTATTTAGTCTTTCTACTTAGGCATCATAATGATACATTGGCAGATCCAGTGGGGGTGTTGGGGGGTTGGAAACACACACCTCACAGCCTTTATTTTTATTTTTTATTAACTCACCTGACCAAAAGGCCAAGTGAGCTTTTCTCAAATTTAACCAAAGTTGGCCACAATCATTATTTGGGTATCTAGTAAAAAAAAGTGTGTCCAATAACCTCGCCTATCAACCAAGATAGCCAACATGGATAGAATAGAACGTAGGGGTAAAATGAAAATTTTGTCTATTACATGTATCTTGAAAACCTCAATGAATGGAGAAAATCAGACGGGACAGAAATGTTGGGATTTGCCAGCTGTCTATTTACAGCAAAACTTTATGACAACTTTATAGTCATTGCCCTTAAATATCAAATTTCAACATTTTTTTTCCATTTTTATGCCCCTGCCGTAGCGTAGGGGGCATTAAGTGTTACCCTTGTCCGTCCTTCTTGTACGTCCCCAAAATTGGTTTCCTTTCTCTAACTTTACTGTGCCTCAACCTTAACTATGATGACTCAGCATAAATTCACAGTTTACAGTATGCATAGTTCACTTAAAGCCCTGAATGCAAAGTAGATTCCGTGTAAAGAAAAAAAAAACATTTTAAAAGATAAAATTGTGGAAGTCAGCTCAGATGAAGACATGGTGGATGATATTAAACAGATGAGTGCATGTTGGATATAGATTAAAAAATCAGTCAAATTAGAAAAAATCATTCAACCCACACAATCCATCAATCATAACTTACCCCTCATTACTACTGTTTTCAAGCTAGTAATGTTACTCCCTCTGATACACCCATACATACCATTGTTCTACCTACATGCAATAGTGTACCCACAAGTGATACCTCTTAATTATAATAATAATAATAATAATAATAAATAAAAGAGGGTAAACACAGTTAGTTATAGTAAACTAATCTTCCCTGAGGCCCTCACATACAAATTACAATACAATCAAAAACAGATATTTACAGTCAACATGGTCAAGTAGTTCAATGTATTATTATTATAATTAATAGCTTTATAATTAATACTATTTTATTCAAAGGTCAAAACATAGGGCTGTGCAGCTAATTTTCAACATTTATATGCCCCAAACTTGTAAGAGTTTAAACTTATAATAAATTTCTGTTCTACCCCTCCCTTCATTAAATATAAATATTATAATTGAGTTTGCACACAAATTCTTTCAGATAGACATCTCATGTACAATCAAATGCAGTATCGTTTTATACTAGTAACCCCGCTATATCAGAGATTGTTCCTCCTTCAAACCCATCTTTGCACATTCCAAGTTTATATTTGTCATCTAGTGCAAACAACCAGTACCACAAACTACCAAAGTTCCATTTAAAAAACCAGTATCCTCAGGCATTTTTTTCTACAGAGCCATTGTATTTGCTTATGATTAAATGTCTTTGAAATAACCATTTAATCTTACAACAATTTCAGTATGCACAATAAGGGCATATCATGCACTCTTTGCGCAGCTGTTTATTGTATGTCAAAGCTTGATTTCAGTAACCGTAAGCATTCTTTGATATAGTTTTATTTTATATTGCTCCACAAGGAATACTGATGAGATTACCGGTATATATGGATTTTATATTAATTTTCAATTTAGTTTTAATTCTTGTAATTTCAGAATTCTTAGATACATATGATCTTTCATCCTAATTTACCCAAAATATTGTCTTTTACTTTACCTGAAGTAAGACCTATATCAAAATAGTAAATACTGCCTCTGAACTTGTCCTTATTACATCTTAGATCATACAAATACACTAAAACACACCTGCGGGTCTGTGACTGAATTAAAGTACCTATATAAAAATAAGAAGATGTGGTATGATTGCCAATTAGACAACATTCCACAAAAGACCAAATGACACAGAAATTAACATCTATAGGTCACCGTACAGCCTTAAACAATGAGTAAAACCCATACTGCATAGTCAGTTATAAAAGGCCCTGAAATGACAAATGTAAAACAATTCAAACAAGAAAACTAACGGCCTGATTTATGTACAAAATAGTGAATGAAAAACAAGTATGATATACAGCAACAAACGACAACCACTGAATTACAGGCTCCTGACTTGGGATAGGCACATACAGTATGTGGCGGGGTTAAACTAGTTTGAAGGCCCGCCAACCCTCCCTCTAACCTAGGACAGTGGTGTAACAGTACAACATAAGAACAAACTATAAAAATCAGTTGAAAAGGTCATCAGATCGATACAAAGCAGAAATCTAACAAAAACACAGAGTGAACGTGGCAGGGTACTTATACATCCCCACAACAAAAAGACACTAAGTACAGATCTGAAAGCACTCGCAAGTTACTGACAGCTAGTTCAAAGCCAATAATAACTAATAAAAAAAATTATGCATCTAAGACTAAAATATCAATCAGTACACATCCAACATCCAATGGATTTAGTGTAAAGACATCATTAACAGTCAGAGAAAAACATGACCTATGCCTTATATTAAGCCTGGATTTTTAGTACATGTAGTCGTATTGTCATCTGATAAAGTCATGCTGATTAGGTGCACAGTTTTCTCTGCTTTCAAAATCTTTCTGTTTGAACCCGTCCTGGTTTTCTTAATACAACCAGAAACTACATGTGACATATACTATTGGTATTGGGATCAGTTTCGACCCAGAACTTGTTAATTATTGGTGATATTAACTATGTGGAAAACAAAAGGGCCTGGAATGGTGTAATTTTTAGGCAGTTAACCTGCCTTATGCTAGCACTGTAGATTTGCATTTTTCCCCGAACTACTGAAATTGGTGCCATTGTCCTTATCTAGCAGGCTGGTAGTTCATGTATAACTAATTGGACACTTTTAGTTCTGGAATACCAAAAATAAGTCTAATATAACCTTAAATGATAGTCGAACAACCCAAAGTCAATAACGTTGCACATTGGAAATAGTGCTCAATGGAAAGTGTTACATTGAGTTTTATCTTCTGTTCTTTTGATAAGGATGTTAAAGAACAATTGTATGAAATTTCATCGTTGAAAATTTCTTTATACAAGTCGTTTACCAAATGACAAATTGCGCATGGATATCGTTTGGCGGTAATTTTAAACTAGTAGACAAAAGTAGATTTCAAGGATTTATTACAAATCGATACTATATTGCTACTTTGTTTACATGAATCGTACCTATTCCAGTGTCGTTTAAACGTAGCAGTCATTTGGCAGTCATGCATTGATAACTTTTTAAATGCGTACGTTCCTTTCTATTATATTATCCCGTTTTATTACATAACTGGCCTTGTCAAATGAAACGACAAATGATTTAATGGTTTCTAAGTTCAAGATTCGGGTCATGTGACAATAGGTCAGAGTTTATCGTGTATGCATTGTTTTCGGTTGGATTTTTTTTTTACATTGTATTGTCTTATTTTTACTTTTATACGTTTAACGTTTTATTTTTGTTATTGGTGAAAAAATAGTTAATCATATTTTGGATATCAACTGCATGCCATTTTCGCGATCTAAAAATTGGCAATGAAAGTAACCGAAATCCACTCTTCTGCTGCCAAGAAAGAATGGTTACTCCTCAATACTTTATGAATAGGAAAGTGAAGTTTTTATTTCTTCAAAATTCGGTTTGGTCAAAGCAATGATGATATTGTTATTTATACATCCTTGGTCAAAGATAAAAAAAAGTTATCCATATTTGGCTATAGTTCC